GGAAAGCAGCTGAGTGCTAATCACAGAGTAGAGTCCACACTCACACTCGGGAAAGCAGCTGAGTGTTGGTTCCATTTCATAGCATGTGTATGTGAGTTGCCACGGAGATCATTATAAGGTCTCTTTCTGACACTTCATAAAGATGCTCCCAAGTCCATCATGTGGCTTTACACATCCCCAGGTGAGCTGTGTACCCCTGGAGGCACCCAGATACCACATGAAAAGCCATACTTTCGTTCATGTAGAGTATACATTGAACTCTCCTCTCAGGCGTCTCTCCCTCAAAACAAAACAATAGGGGCAGGCAGACTCCAGCACCCCTGTGCTGTCTTTGGGCCTCTCTAAGGACATATCGTCAAGTGTTCTGTTTGACTTGGAGGACCTATGTGTTGAGGGTGGGGTTCACAGAAGAGGGAGCTGCTTGGGCTTCAGAGTGTAGTGTCTCTGTGGACTTAGTACACAGAACCCCCTAGAGACATTTCTTTTCCGGGTAATTCACATCTGTGGTTGTTCAACCCCTTAAAACTTGTAGGAATCCAGACTGGCAAGTGTGTACAGTACGATAAGAACCGGAAGACCTGTGAAATCTTTGCCTGGTGTCCCGCTGAGGAGGGGAAAGAGGCCCCCCGGTGAGTTCCATGGTGGGGGGCACAAACAGTGGCCTTGGCAGTGCCAGGTGTGGCCTTTTCAGGGCTCCTGGGCTTCTCCGATCAGCATAGCCCTGACTGCCAAGTCCCAGCTTGGAGACCTCGTGGCCATCTCTGGGAAGGCTATGCCAGCCTTAATATGTTATAGTTGGCCTGAGCCAGCTGGCATGTAGCTGTGACCTGGAACACCCTGGTCAGGGCTGCTCTGGAAACCCTCCCCAAGAGCTACAGCAGGGTTTGCTCTGATCCATCCGTGCTCATAGGAAATGACAAAGAATATGAAGAAGCAGAGCTGGGGAGGTGGCTCAGGGCATTAAGTGCCTGTACGGCAAGCCTGCGGACCTGAGTTTGAATCCCAAGCACCAACACAAATAGCGGGTGTAGCAACAGACACGGTAGTCCCAGCTGAGGAGGCAGAGTTGGGTTGCGGGTCAGCTGGTCTAGCCAAATTGGTGAGCTCCGGGCTCAGAGAGAGTCTGCTTCACAGTGTAAGGTGGAGAATGCTACCAACTGCTACCCTCCCCACACATGAGCATTCTGAGGGCTGTGCACCTATATTCACAGCATGCAACAGAGCAGGGGAGGGGGAGAGACAGAGAGAGACAGCCTGCTCCTAGAAGTACAGTGGTTCTAGACCATCTCTGTCCAATAGAACTTTCTTCAGTGATGGGAATGTTTGGTACCCATGGTGTCCAACATGGCAGCCACCAGCTACCTGTGATGACTGAACCCATAAAATAAGAAATGGAATTTTAATTGAAAATATATTTGCTGGGTGGAGGCGGCAGCACGTGCCTTTAATCCTAGCATTCAAGAGGCAAAGGCAGGTGAGTTTCTATGAGTGTGAGAGTTCGAGGCCAGCCTGGTCTACAGAGTGAGTTTCAGGACAGCCAGAGCTACACAAAAAGCCCTGTCTTGAAAAACCCATAAACAAACAAACAAACAAACAAATGTTTCTATTTTATACTTATTTGCATTTACATGGGTTTGCTTGCCTGTGTATGTGGGTGCTTGTGAGCCATCACATACATCAGAACCTCAGAGGACAACTTGCAGAAACTGGTTCTTTCTTTCCACCATGTGGGTCCCACCAGGCTTAGCGGCGAGCATCTTTCACCCTGGGCCGCCTCACTGGCCCTAATTTTAATCTCCATATCCACTTCCCAGACCAAGCAGGCCTCAGGAGCACTCTGTATGTGGGACAGAGAGAAGGCTGGCCAAACAGACCCGCAGACGGCTCAGGCCAAGGTCCATCCTGCCTTCCAGTGCCAGGGTGCAGGCGGGAGGCAGTACCGCCCTCTCGGCCTTCGGTTGTCAGACCAGTTTCACTTCTAGGTAGGGAAGTTTCTGTGTGCAGAAGGCACTATGCTGTGGGTGAGACCCTGGACTCCACCGCTGGACCGCTTGGGTTCACACAGAGGAGTTCGTGGTTGCCAGTTTCAGCTCTGCCGCCACCTCATTCATCAGATGAATACCGTGTGTCTCCACATGCCGGTCCTGAGCTTTATTTTTCATTCTTTCTGCTGTTTTTATTGTCATTGTCTTTGAGACAGGGTTTAGCCTCAAACTCTCTAAGTAGACCAGGCTAGCCTCAAGCTCACAGAGATCCACCTGCCTCTGCCTCCTGCATGGGATTCAAGATGTGCGCCACAATACCTGCGGTCACTTTTATTCTTCTTGAGGCAAGGTCTCACTGTGGAGATGAAGCTGGCTGCATCTTGTAATCCCCCTGGCTCAGCCTCCTGAGTTCTAGGATTACAGGCATAAAGCACATTTTGATATGATTGGACAAACCATCTCCTCTCGTGGTATGTGAAGCAGGTGAAATGGTTCATCCAACACAGCCACCAAGAAGTTGGCGTTCGTCAGTGATTTTCCTTGTGTGTCACTTCATATGACATAAAATCTAAAATATCAGATGACCAGACAGGGAGTGGCTACTCAGCCTCTTGCTCTGCGTCGGAAGAGACAAGCCATGCAGAGAAAGCTGTAATTCAAAATAAAAAGCTACAAATGTCAAGTGAGAGGATCCTGTAGCCTCTGACTCTTAGACTTCATTTACTTATTTTTTATATACGCACATATATTTTTAAAACTTACTCTGACTCTTTCATACATACTATATATATCTATCATACTTTATATATATATATATATATATATATAATGTATTTTGATTATATCTAACTCAGATTTTCCCTCCCACTCTTTCTGGGTCCCTTTCTCAAATACTTTCTTCTCCAACCTTCATGGTACCCCAACCCCTTTTTAAAATTAAGCATGATATTGTTAAAAAATACCGCTGATGGCTTTTCTCCCCCAGTGGCCTGCCTAGCATTTTCCAGCACTAGAAGGCAAGGAAGAAATCCCCAGTTCCAGCTTGATTCCCTCACGTCCTTCAAGTGTGTTACGACTTCAGAAATACGGTCTTATCAACTCTGTGTGATAAGAACCAAGAACAATGGTAATAGCTCATTTTGAGGACCCCCATCCCCACCCCCAGCACTTTCCCGTAGGGAAGTATCCCACATCTGGCACTGAGATTTTCATTTAAATTTTTACTTAATAACTCATGTCTTCTAATGCCTACCCAAAGCATGAAGTTTAAAATAGCTTTTTGCTTGTTTGTTTTGTTTCTCAAGACAGGGTTTCTCTGTGTAGCCCAGATTGTCCTGGAACTCACTCTGTAGACCAGGCTGACCTCGAACTCACAGAGACCCACCTGCCTCTGCCTCCCAAGTGCTGAGATTGAAGGTGTGTGCCTTGTTTTTGTTTTTTAACCTTCATCCTGTCTCTTTCATAGATCACCAACTGCTGGTGTTCTTGTTCACCACTGTATGCCAGGGCCCTGCTCCGTGTCCATTCATTATTTGGTAATGAATGGCTGGCTGGCGGGTGGGTGGGTGGCCTTCCGGTGGCCTGGAATTTTGGTTCCTCTAACTCAGTGTACAACTAAAGCCTACCCAGCGCCTCTGATGAACGAATGAATGAGTGAATGATATAGATAGCTCTGTGTGTAGTCCTGTGATAAAGGCTGGACATACCAAAATAGATTGCCATTCAGCCTTGCAGGGACTTCAGGCCGATCCAGAAGCCACGAACATGGCTGCTCAAGAGCTGACTGGCGCTGACTAAAAGCCAACCATGCTCATTCGGTCTCAGTTTCAAGTTTACTGGTGGATGGGGGCTTGACACCAGCCACGGTGGAAGGATTTATGGCATGGTAATCAGCTAGCGCCACGTGTCACGTCAGATGTTAACATGTCACCGCACAACAGCGGGCATGCAATTGTGTCGGTGTTGGATGTGACACCGTAATTGCCGTGGGGGGTCTCAAGGAGGGCGAAGGCTTCTGGGGGAAGCTACAGGCTTTATGGAGAATTTTGCTGTATTCATTTCTTTTCAGTCAAAAGCACAAAGCCATACCCGCTGGTCCCATGGACTCTTTGTCCCTGAGGTCACCGACTCTCCTTCCTCTCTCTCAGGCCTGCACTCTTGGGGAGCGCTGAAAACTTCACTGTGCTCATCAAAAACAATATTGACTTCCCCGGCCACAACTATACGACGTAAGCATCTCAAACACCTGGCTGTATGCATCAGTTATCTCGGCTGTGGAACAAAAGGTCCCAAACCTAGGGAGCCTGAAAATTACAAGAGCTTTATCTCTCTCCCATCAGTGGATCGGGAATCTGGCAGTGTCTTTGCTGGGTGGTTCTGGCTCATGGTCTTTCCAGTCATGAGCTATCAGTCAGAGCTTCTGTTGGCTCTAGGTTTGCTTAGGGCTGAGTCCTTTCCCAGTCTTACCCTCGTGACTGAGGCAGCAAGGCTAAGTTCCTCACCATGGTCATCTCACTCAAGGACTGTGGGAGTATCCTTAGGACTTGGTGGCTGCATCACCAGAGCAAGTCGTCTGCATAGTGGATGGGCAAGGGCAACTGAGATGGAAGCCACAGTCTTTGGAAGTGATTCCCAACCCGTTCTGCGATATGCTGCTGGTCACAAAGATTGTCCATGACACAATGTAAAAGGACATTCTACAAAGGTCCGCAGGGGGCAGGGGAGCTGCCACACAGCTCACGTCGATGAGTAGTAGATCAATGTCATGTTCAGCAATGTCCCATTGGGAGCTTTACACCAGCAGTGATGAAAGCATTTATACCACGGTAATCAGTAAGCACTTCTTAGCAGGCATTGGTTTTCCCTTTAGAGAGATGGTTGTTAAAACATGTTTCTTTGCCATTCTGCACAGGAAAAACATTTTTCCAGATCTGAAGATCCCTTGTACCTTTCATAAAACTCAGAACCCTCAATGTCCCATTTTCCGACTAGGGGACATCTTCCAAGAAGCAGGAGAGAACTTTTCAGAGGTAGCAATTCAGGTTGGTGGAGCATTTATACGTGTGTCAAGGGGTCCAGGTTGTCAAATGTCAAATAACAGTGTCTGGTGGTAGAGGCCGACAGTCTGGCTCCTAAAGTCATGGCTCACATTTATTTGTATGTGGTAAACCATACCTAGTGCTTCAGGGAATCCCAGGGTCCTGTGGCTGCAGGAACAAATCACCACTAATGTGCCAGCTTAAAAGAGCACACGTTTGCTTCTGTGCCTGGAGCAGGAGTCCAGCGCCAGAGCTGAAGGCGGTGTCAAAGCAGGTGCAGGGAAGGATGCATGCTTGCATTTCTACCTTCCCCACGGGTGCTTCTTGCGTTCACTTATTGGTTGACGGCCCCTTCCTCCACTTTTTTTTTGTTTTGTTTTGAGACAGGGTTTCTCTGTGTAGCCCTGGCTGTCCTGGAACTCGTTCTGTAGACCAGGCTGGCCTCTGCTGGGATTAAAGACATGCACCACCACTGCCCAGTTGCACTGAAACCTTTTAATGAGTATTTCCCCACAGAGAGAAAATCTTCCTCGAGGAGACATTACTGAGTGGGACAGTGTTTGACGGTTGCATAGCCCCCACCTAACAGACTTTGTGACTTTTCTTGTTGATTTTCCCCAAGGGAGGAATCATGGGCATTGAGATCTACTGGGACTGCAACTTGGACAGCTGGTCCCATCGCTGTCGTCCCAAGTACAGCTTCCGCCGCCTGGATGACAAGTACACCAACAAGTCCTTGATCCCTGGCTACAACTTCAGGTAACAGTGCCGAATGTGCCGTGGGCAGAATGAGCAAACAGAAAAGACAAGGTCGCTGCTATACCAATAACAGCACACTGGCGATGTAAGGAAATCATCAACATTGCTAGTCATTAGGAAAATGCATAAAACCACAATAAGATAAATCTGTAGGCCCAAGGAGATGGCTCAGTGGGGAAGGGTGCTTGCTGCTAAGCACAGAGACCTGAGTTTGATCCTCAGAACACGCACAATGGAAAGGCAGAACTGGTTCTCACGAGCTGTCCTCTGACTTACATATGTAGGCCATGTGTATGCGTATACACATGCGCACACACACACAATAAATAAATGTTAAAATTGAAAAAAGTGATACAACTGTGATACACTAGAATGGCTAGAATTTTACAAGATGGGATGGAGAGATGGCTCAGCAGTTAAGAACACTGGCTGCTCTTTGAGAAGACCCAGGTTTGATTCCCAGAACCCAACATGGTGGCTCACAACCATCCATATATCTAACTCTAGGGGATCGATCTAATAGCTTTTTCTGACCTTTGTGGGCACCAGGTTTGCACACAGTACCACACACACACACACACACACACAGTTAAAACACTCTAAACATAAAATAAAGATATATCCTTTAAAAAGCATAAAGGAAAAGAATTCTCCTGGGACCCCTCCCACTCTCAGGAATTCTCTCATTTTTCCTTAATGAATCTATATTTGTTTTAAAAGTAAATAAATTTTTTAAAAATCAAGCAAAAGAAACTTTGCACACAAATATTCATAGTAGTCTTGCTTATAGCAGGAAAAAAAAAACCCTGAGAAGCCAAATGTCAAGCACAGAGAAATGGCCACCCTGCAGGGTATGTGTACAGTGGAGAGCTACTCACTATGATTAAGAAAGGAACCAAGTATCAATACACGGGATATCTGGAAGAGTTACAGGTATCATCTACAGACGCTAGGTTGAAAGGTCGAACTAAATGGTATGCTATTTAGATGAAGTTCAATAGGAAAACATGGGCTGTTGGGATGGCTCAGTGGGGAGGGTGTGTGCTGCTGTGCCCAGTGACTGAGCTCAAGCCCCAGAATCCAGATGATGGAAGGAGGAAACCACTCCCTGTGAATAATCTCCTGGCGTTCTTCACAAGTACCATCGCGTGCACAGACAGACGCACGTGCGCGCACGCGCGCGCACACACACACACACACACACACACAAATAAACAATTTAAAAAAGAGTAGACAAGACTTGACTAAGATGAGCGAAGACAGAATAGTGTGTTCTGGACTGGAAAAGGAACACTTTGAGTTGAAGGAATTTTGATGAAAACATAATCATTTGTCGAAACCCATTACCAGGCATGGTGGTGCATATCTTTAATCCCAGCACATGGAAGCAGAGGCAGGTGGATCTCTGTGAGCTTGAGGACAGCCTGGTGCATCAAGTCCCAAGCTAGTCAGAGTCACTTATAGAAACCTTGCCTACAAACAAACAAACCATTGAACAGAACCCTTAAGACTCATGCATTGTAAGATACGTAAATGATATCTCAATAGAGCAAACAGGTAAATCTAAGTAGAGCATTTCTAATGGGGGTAAAGTGCTCTAAAAAAAAAAACCAAAAAACAAGCAAGTTACTGTGATGAGAAGATGTGCCTGGGAAGCCTCTCCAAGCAGGAGGCAGGGACCCTGCAGGCTTGGCTCCCCTTTCTAGTTAAGAAGGAGGACAGGGGCCTGGGCTCTGAGAAGAAACTTGGAAAATAAACTCACATCTGTGAGTTCCTTTCCCATGCAGTCTAGATTAGCAATTATCAAAATGCAGCGCTCAACACCAGCATCACACAGTGACTCAAAAATGCACATTCCGGGGCCCGGCCTAGACCTCCCGATTCAGACTGGACAGCATGGCCTGTGGTCTGCGTTTTCACAAGTCTCTGTGGCGCTCTGCTGTGCACTCGAATCCGAACACTGCTGATGAGGACGCCTATCCCCCCTCCTGGCACCCGCTGGGGGTTTGCGACGGTGCAGAGCATCACAGAGCCTCTCACCCCAACTTAGCAAACACCCACACTGGAACAAGGTCCCCTGGAGACTTTTATTTATCAATTATTATAACATATTCATTGATATTATATTATATATTAATTATATACTATACTATATATCGATATTTATTTATTATTATATTATCCATTTATTTCTTTGTCCCTGTAGAATATTTTAAACCTTGTGATAGTCTACACAAACATCTGGCTTTCTCTTTTTCCTGAAACGCTAAAGCATTTAACACAGAGTCTAAAAACTTTAAAAACACTGGGCCCATATGCCATGTGACAGCATTGGCTGGAGCTGCGTAGAGCGTGTATGTGGGCGGTATCACTGCCCTTGCCACTTCTTTATGTCCTTCAATGTGACCTGCATATTTTTGCCTGGCCCCTGTGGAGATCCAGGGTGGAGAGCCTTGATTCAGCATCAAACTGGCTGAGGCTTTTCGCCTGCTCTGGGTCAGTGTGTTCATCCCGGGCTCAGGAAGAGGCTCTCAGTGCAGGTAGCTTTTTGATTTCTCTCGCCGAAGTTCTGAAAAGGCTGTGGCCACTGGCAAGAAAGACAGGACACGATGAGTGGCCCCCTGGCTGTGCTGGGCGGTTTCAGTTAGCAGTCAGCCCAAGCATGCAGGGCAATGTACCAATCAGACATTGGCCAATGTCCTCCTGTTCTCTGAGCTGAACCTAAGAACATCCGCTCCTGGTGGGATCGAGCTCTCTAGAGGCCTGAAGGGTTATGACGTCAGTATTCTTTTAGAATAGGGTGCTAGCAAATTTGTTGTTGAATAAGCACCAGGAGAACTCTTTGGCCAAAAATAAATTGCGGAGCTCTGATAGGCAAGAGAACAAGTTATTTTCAAACAGCATCACAAAAGGGAAGGAAATTACAGGCTATATGAGGTATTTGGGAAAATATAGCTTTCTTTTTTACAGGAAGTTAAAAAGTTCACATTATATAACTTTGTCCTCAAGAAAGAGATTTATGGGGGCTGAAGAGATGGCTCAGTCAGTAAAGAGCTTGCTGTGCAGGCAAGAGGACGTGAGCTCGGCTCGCTGGCATCCATGTAAAATGCCAGGCCTCGTGGTGTTTGCCTCGAATCCCAGTGCCGGGCAAGCAGAGACAAGAGGATCCCTGAGTTGCTGGGTAGGCAGTCCAGCCAAACCAGTGAGCAGCAGGTTCAGGGAGAGATCCTGCCTGACCAAATAAAATAGGGAGTGGTGGAGAGAGACTCCTGATGCATCCCCCTGGTCTACACACACACACACACACACACACACACACACACACACATGCACACACACGCACACACACGCACGCACACACACGCACACACGCGCATGCACACATGCACACGCACACACACACTAAATAAAGAGGACACACAGAAGATCCTCCTCTGGTGAGCCTAACCCTCGCTGATTTATATGTGTGATACTGGGGTATAAGATGCCTTTCTCAGGCCAGGCAATGGTGGCGAACGCCTTTGATCTCAGCACTCGGGAGGCAGAGGCAGGTGGATCTCTGTGAGTTTGAGGCCAGCTTGGTCTACAAGAGCTAGTTCCAGGACAGGCTCCAAAGCTCCAAAGCAACCCTGTCTCGAAAAACCACAAAAAGGGGGGGGGGGATGTATTTCTCAGATCCAGAGCATGTATGGATAAGGATTAGTTTCCTGTGGCTACTGAAACAGATGGCCGCAAACAGCTTAAGGCCAGATGTAGTGAATGATAAATCTTTGCTACATTTATACTCCATGCTAAAGGGAAGTCTGAGAGCAGGTGTCAGAGGGCTTAGGGAGGGGTCTTCTCTTGCCTCTCCCACTCTGTCAGCTCCAAGAATCGCTCACCTTACAGCTGATCCACTGCAATCTCTGCTTTCGTCCCTGAGTGTTTTCTCTATGGTCTTCGAGTCTCATTTCCATCCCTTTAGTTTATAAGTCTGCACCTCCCCTGACACTGCCAGTTTTGCATAGCGGGAAAGGGTATGGAAAATATAAAACAAAAAAAATCAAAAGTCATGGTTAACTCAGCTCACATCAGTTGCTGGTCATGAGTGGCCAGGGGTTTATCTAAAAGCTGACCCTCAGTTTGCTGAGCGACCCTAATTTTGCAGAGAACCGCTTCAGCCTCTCAAACAGAGCTATGGGTTGTAAAGCGGAGTAACCCACTGTTAACAGTTAATCCTTAAGCTGCTGAGAAAGCTGCTGACAGCCTGCTCTCATTCTCCTAGGTCTACAACTTTATATTTTTTTTATTTCTACTTGTTTTTGGAATCTACATTTTTATATTTTTATTCTTGGACTCTTTAGTATGTACCACCATACCCTGCTAATCATGTAGTTTAAATCTTCCTGATTATTTATGAAAAATAAAATATCACACACACACACACACAAACACACACATTCAACTTCTGTACCTGTTTGGGGTGGTTGTGATTTGTGCCAGGTTAGCTTAAGGGGATTGACATGGAGAAATCACTGTCCCTGGACTTAAGCCTAATGCCCACAAATCCCAGAGGATGGGAGCAAACCACCCCATCCAGGACTGCAAGAGAAGAACTGGTTTAGTCAGAGACAGAGCAAGGGGAGGGGGAGGCCCAGATTGTGAGAAAGGGCGAGGCAGGCTGGGAGAGGGCTGAGAGCTGCTGGTTTGAACGCTGTCATCAGGCACTGGGCTACAGGAACTTTGGTGACCTATATGTCTGGCCCTGGCCCTGCCTGCTGCTGTGTTCCTGAGGATAGAGAAATTCTGGCCTGCTATGAGAATTAGATAGATAAGGCGGTGGCAGGATAGCCAGAATTGGCCTGAAAGTTTGGATGTGACCTTCACAGGCTCACAAGAAGACCTTTGGTTTGCCTGTGGGGCTAATGATTGGCAGAGAGATGAATGCAGGATCTAAGACAGCACAGTTAGGACAGATCCTTGACCTCTCCCCGGTAGGCAACAGAGGGCTGAGGCTCACGCTGTCCTTCCCTGCTTTGTTCTAGAAGCCATGCCTGTTAGCACTCGGGAGGCAGAAGCAGGAGAATCTCTGAGTTCAAGGCTAGCCTGGTCTACAGAGTGAGTTCTAGGACAGCCAGGGCTAAAAGAAACCCTGTCTTAAAAAACCAGAACAGAGGGAGACAGGGCAATAAAAGTCTGCCATGATGGCACACACCGTTAACACCAGCAGTTGGAGGCAGGCAGATCTCTGAGTTTGAGGTCAGCTTGGTTTACGTAACGAGTTCCAAGAAGCCAGGGCTACATAGAGAGAGACCTTGTCTAAAAATAAAAAAAGAGAAATAAACACATTGCCTGAAATTACTCTTTAACGTTTCTTTGCTTATTGTTGTTGATCTTCTATTGACTTAAATGTTGGATGTTTGCATAGAAAACTAAAAGCCAAATTTTGTTCATTTGTGTTGGTGGAAGCAGGTGAGGTAACTTGAGGACGCTCTTTGGTTTCAATTGGTCAGAGAGTAATTAGAGGGCCGGACTGTACTCTCTCCTCTGCCAACTGTGGCAGGCATCAAAAGCCCATGAGGAAGACCGGATTGGCTACTGGTTTGCTCCTTCTCCCCAGAAGATACCAGCATGTTCAGCGATACTGTTGTAAATGTGGCTGCTTTTCTCCCATAGATACGCCAAGTACTATAAGGAAAACAACGTGGAAAAACGGACACTGATCAAAGCCTTTGGGATCCGCTTTGACATCCTGGTTTTTGGCACGGTAAGTCTCTCCTTCCTGTGACTGTCTAATTGTGGATGCAGTGAGGCGTGAAAGCTAGCAGCCACAATCAGGAGTTGGCTCCGTGCAATTCACTTGTGGAATGACAGGAGAAAGAAATGCATTTGGGCTTCTTCTGATGAACAAACCATCTGAAAAAACATGGAATATGACTGAGGAAAAATTCAAATATCCAATCTTTGTTTGACTATTCCAGGCCAGGCTTTTGCTACAAAGCCAGCTGGCCTTGAATTTTCAATCCTGCTGCCTCATCCTTCTAAATGCTGGGATTATAGGTGTGCATCACTACACCTAATTCAACGTTTCAGATACTTTAATACTGAGCTAGGGAGATGGCTCAGAGAGTGAAGGGCAAGCATGAGGAGCTCAGTTCAGACCCTCCAGAACCCAGGGGAAAGGCTGGGCATGGCAGGGCGTGCGTGCCTGTAATCTCATACTGAAGGTTAGAGAGAAGAGGATTCCAGGGACCTGGGCCAGCAGGTCCACTGAGACACGCATCACAAAAGCAATCACACAGAATGTGGAAAGATGTTCCAAAATGAACATCTTCTACACATTTGCATGGACAAGCACACCTGTACATATACATGCACACATCACAGATACCCCCCTCCAAACACACACTAAAGTAAATAGGCAAATAAAACCAACCAAATAAATAAGCAACACCTGATACTGAGCTGGGGTGTAGCTCAGCTGGTAGAACGTGTGCCTAGGAAGGAGAAGTCTGGCTTTGATCTCCAGCATGTGACTGATGCCACATTGTAACAAAAGAACCAGTGAAATGCAAAGCTGGGATTGTTTTTAATCCCAGCACTCAAGGCAGAGGCCAGTGATCTCATGAATTTGTAGGCAGCATGGTCTACACACCAAATTTCAGGCCAGGAAAGGCTGCATAACTAAGAGTCTGTCTCAAAATACATAAGGAGGAAGGAAGGAACAAGAACTACTAAAATATACCTGAGTGAATGGAAAGGCCATTGAGAGTGAGCCTTGCAGAGGTCCAGTAAGAAGACATATGGTGTGGCCATATCTACTCCCCAAGTTATCCCACACTATGGGAGAGTTTGTCTGAAACCCTCATCTCATATGGAGGTTCTCCCCTTACTGACCACATCTCTCTAGAGCATTCTAGACGGCAGGAAGGGGAGGCGTGATGTCTTGTGGTCTCTGTGACAGTTGAGCACTCGGATGTGTGCCTCAGTGCCTTCACCATCTTCTGTGCGTGCTAGATGCACCGACTGCAAGTTAACAAGAGAAGGCGCCAGGCGCCGCTCTGAGTTCAGCTGAGTAACGCTTCCTGCTCTGTTTCAGGGAGGAAAATTCGACATCATCCAGCTGGTTGTGTACATTGGATCCACACTGTCCTACTTTGGCTTGGTAAGAGATTCTCTTCCCCATCCTTTACCAAACTGATTCAGGCTGGGCATGGCGGTGCACGTCTTTAACCCCAGCACTTGGGAGATAGAGGCAGGCGGATCTCGGTGAGCTTGAGGCCAGCCTGGTCTACACGATGAGACCCAGTCTTGAAATATTTGGAAATAGCAACAAAAAAAGAAAGAGAGAGGAGGCTGGAGAGATGGCTCAGTGGTTAAGAGCACTGACTGCTCTTCCAGAGGATCCGGGTTCAATTCCCAGCACCCACATGGCAGCTCACAACTGTCTGAAGATCCAGTTCCAGGGGATCTGACATTTCACACCAATGCACATAAAATAAACCATAAAAATATTTTAAGAGAGAGAGAGAGAGAGAGAGAGAGAGAGAGAGAGAGAGAGAGAGAGA